GTTATGAGGGTGACGCTGCAAGGTAGCAGTAGAAGCCTAAAAAAGCTTGCAAAGTGGCATATATAAGGAGGAAAGTAAGATGAAATAAGATGCTGGAGATGTAAATAATCATTAGAAATAATAACTACTTCTGAGATGTCAAGCAGATCTGAAAGTCTCTGCAGTTCGTCAAAAATTAGCATGTTATCTAGAGATGCAGTGTCTTAAAAGTGACCATCGTAATACCATCAGAAACTTTTGTTTATTTGTTGGGTGGGGTGTTCTGTTTTTGTCTTCCCCTCTTCATTGATGGTCAGGTTAACAGGAAATTAGAGGAAATCTTTGTGGAATATTGTCATTATTTGGTTCTGGTTGTCGTTAATATTAGTAGCCATAATGTGTGATAAAAAGATGATTATAGTGAAATTCAGATTTACAGATGAGGGGAAATGATGCTGGTTTCACTGGAGAAGGCTTTGTAACTTTGTTTCAGATCTGTGTTCTATCGCTCATACAAAGAGCAGGAGTCTAAAAAAGGTTATGACCAAGAGGAAGTTTTTGAAAAGCCTACACGCGAAACTTGCCAAGGTAAGATACAGGAGTGTGCAAAGACTTGAGTTTTTAAATTCAGTTTTTGTGGGCAAGGCTGTTAATGTTGTTGAACTGATGCAGTCTTCATTTTGGGGCATATGAGACAGCAGAGAAGTCTGTATTAATTGTTATTAGTACACCAATTGAGGTATTTGTGTAAAATTAGATCTTTCTGCAGTTGTCTGAAGTTGCAAGCAGACTTGTTGAATTTCTACAGAACAACAGAGTCAGTATGTTGAAAAATTTGGGAGTCTACTTTCTGTTTTTTCTTTTTTTGCTCCAAGGTATGAGACACGCAATCTATGACAAACTTGATGATGATGGTTTGATAGCACCTGGGGTACGTGTGTCTGGGGATGATGTCATCATTGGCAAAACAGTCACGCTGCCAGAGAACGAAGATGAACTGGAAAGCACAAACAGACGCTTCACAAAGAGAGACTGCAGCACTTTCCTGCGAACTAGCGAGACTGGCATTGTAGATCAGGTCATGGTGACCCTTAACCAGGAAGGATACAAGTTCTGCAAGATTCGGGTGAGCATTAATGTTTGTGCTTTCTGCTTTCAATAATCTCTGCTGTATATTTAAGTTACCAGTTGAATGTTTCCCTCTGGCTTACAGGTGCGCTCTGTAAGAATTCCACAGATTGGAGATAAATTTGCTAGCAGGCATGGTCAGAAGGGAACCTGTGGTATCCAGTACAGGCAAGAGGTAGTAATTTTTTTTTCCTTCTAAGCATTTTACCAATGCCATTCTTAGCGTTTGAACTGCCTTAAGTGAATTGTCTGTGGAATACCTATGCAGGTGCAATGTGTTGACTTAAATTTAGCTAAAATATTTTTAGAAAGGGACACAGCTCCTTCTTACGTGATACTTAAATGCTTTTGAAACACTTTAAAAGATTTAATTTGGATTCAGGCACCTCCTTTTCCTAAAAATGATATTCTGGGAAGAATTGACTGTCTGTTTCCCTGCTCTAGGATATGCCCTTCACCTGTGAAGGCATCACACCTGATATCATTATCAACCCCCATGCCATCCCTTCCCGTATGACCATTGGTCACTTGATTGAGTGTCTTCAGGGCAAGGTAAGAAAAAAATCTTCTGTACTGAATGTCTGAGAAACATGAATTAAAATTTGGGGGAGGGGCTTTTGGGGTTGGGTTTTTTTGTAAAGATAAGTACTGCCTAGTAGGTGTTACTTCACTGAAAAATAAGGATTGTTCTGCAGTTACTTGATAGCAAAAGCAGGTTTCTTAGGGAAGACCTACAGTCCTGTAAATTTTGTCCAGCAAGTCAGACACCACAGTGTGCTCTCTCATCTGTTACTTTTGTTCAGACAATTTCCGTGACCTAGCAAAAGGAGTAGCAAATTTGTTGATACTGGGTATTTTTTAAGTTGTGTAGCTGATAAACAAAGCAAGATAGGGTACTATGATGGGCACAGAATCTCACATTCAAGCATTAAATGTTGAACTGTTTGAAACAGCTTAATATAGTATAACCAGTCCTTCAGAAACATGACAGACTTTTGCAAATCTCTTCTCTATAGGTGTCTGCAAACAAGGGAGAAATTGGTGATGCTACACCTTTTAATGACGCTGTCAATGTGCAGAAGATTTCCAATCTTTTATCAGATTATGGCTATCATCTAAGAGGAAATGAGGTATAACCAAAATATCAGTTCATTGTAATCTTTTTAATACACATTTGGTGGATAGTAAGGCTTATGATTCAGTGACTGCATTGACTTCTTCAGGTCCTTTACAATGGCTTCACTGGTCGAAAAATCACATCACAGATCTTTATTGGTCCTACGTATTACCAGCGATTGAAGCACATGGTAGATGACAAAATCCATTCTCGTGCAAGAGGGCCCATCCAGATACTTAACAGGCAGCCCATGGAAGGTAGATCTCGGTAAGGATGTGTGTTAGTTTCTATGTGGTGTTTTCTTTTCCTGTCGAGTTTTCAGCCCTGAACTATTAGTTGCCTCAGCTTTGCAGCTAGAACTTCATTAGCTCACCCCAGTTAGCCACCCGTTTTTCATGTGTTTGGCTTAAGATCAAGTGCTGGGTGCAGCGTCAAGGCTTTGTTAGCAGGAGGTGCTGCTGGGCTGGCCTCTCTGGGAAAGGACCAGGGGTTGCCCTGTGCTGGCCACAGCCACTTACAGCTGGCTCTGACCAGCCAAAGCCTGTCAGCGATGCTGTTGGCACCTCTGTGGGAATGTATTTAAGAAAGGGTAAAAAATGCTGTGCAGTAGCTGTGAGAGAGAGAAGGGAAAAAATGTGAAAGGAACTGCCCTGCAGCTCATGGAAAGCTTCCACGCTGGAGCAGGCTCCTGGCAGGAGGTATGATCTGTGGGGGATCCATGCTGCAGCAATCTGTTCTTGAAAGATAGTATCCCGTGGGACAGGCCCGTGCTGGAACAATGTGTGAAAGACTATCCCACGGGAGGGACCACATGCTGTGGAGGGGAAAAAGTGTTAGCAGGAAGGAGCAGCTGAGAGGAATTGTTATGTACTGACTGCAACCCCCATTCTCCCTGTGACCATGGGGAAGGGAGGAAGGAGTTTGGAATGAAGAAGTGAAGTTGAGCCTGGGAAGAAGTTTGGGGAGATGAATTTTTTAATTTTGTCTTTGCTTCTCACCATCTTACTCCATTCTTAATGGGCAGTGAATTAATTTTCCCCATGCTGAGTCTGTTTTGCTTGTGACAGTAGTTGATAAGCAATATCCCTGGGTTTATCTCCACTCATGAGCTTTTCCATCTTATTCTCTCCCCATGTCCTCTTGACCTGGTGGGGGAGTCAGAGGGATGCTTGGTGGGTATCTGGCAGACAGCCAAAGTTAAACCCACCACAGATAAGTAGAGGATGACTTAACTGTATACTTCATTTTGCCGTGTGGTTGTGCTGTGGCTGTCTGACACCTGTCATAGAAATGCTCAGCAGCAGTTAAAAATTACTGTGTTCACATTCTCCCTAACACTTTATTCTGAGGTGTTAGAGAAAAATTAATGCACAGCTTTCCTCCTGCCTTGCAATACTGGTGTTGTGTTTCTGGTAAGGTACTTGTTCTGCCAACAAAAACTGATTATTTTGCCAATGAACAAAAAACTTAAGTGGGTTTTTTTTTTCCTCTTTTCAGTGATGGTGGCCTTCGCTTTGGAGAAATGGAACGGGATTGCCAGATTGCTCATGGAGCAGCCCAGTTCTTGAGAGAAAGATTGTTTGAAGCTTCAGACCCATACCAGGTGCATGTGTGTAACCTCTGTGGAATCATGGCGATTGCAAACACGAGGACTCACACCTATGAGTGCCGCGGCTGCCGCAATAAAACTCAGGTACGTGTGGTTTTCGTTGGCCACTGTTTCTCTCTGTGGGCAAGAGGAAATGCCACTCCAGTGAACAGGAGGATAGGGAAGTAAATATTTAAAGAAGCACCAGAACAATTGCTATTTTAGTTTCATAACTGTTTTAAGTGTTTATAGTGACCTAGTTAATTTGGATGCTTCCTTATTAACTTCAGAGTGTTGGCTTGGCAGGAAATGCTGCTCAAGTACTGTACAGTGCAGAGTTTTTAGAGACTTTAAACGCTTGAGAGCTTATTTTTAGAAGTAAAACTCAGAATCACAGGAATTTAACAGCCATCGCCCTTGTGACTGTCCCATGAAGATATTTATGCTTGCAGAGGTGGGTCCCCATGGGAGGCCTTTTGTGTTGCACTTTGGTGGTTTTTTTTTTTAATTAATAAAAGCCCTGCAGTGTGTGCTTGGTTACAGCACCATGTCAAGGAAGGGTGGCGGCAGAGATAAAAAGAGTTGCCTTGAACAGGCTTCTTGTTGTGCCAGGGACTGACTGCTGCCCCCACGCAGTGGCACTGGAGTTACCAATCCATGTGTGCTGGAAATCTTAACTGTGCATTTACTGCACATCAGGCACACTTGGCCGTGCACATGTTCCCATGTTAAATGGCTCTTGTTTAGGATCAGATCCCTTGGCTGAAGGTTTTATGTTAAAAATGTGTTCTGAATAGCTGCGGTTGTAACCTCTACAGACAGTCTCAGCTTCCCTCTTGCTTTGGTACCGTTCTGTGAGCAATTCTTGTTAAATGCTTTCATGCATAACTTCAGACTCGCTTTTGAGCCAAAAACTCGACGAGTTATTTGTTTAGAGGATGGTGGAAGTTGATGCTTTAGGAGTGCTTATCACAGGACTTTCGAAATCTCTTTCCAGATATCTTTGGTTCGAATGCCCTATGCCTGCAAACTCCTCTTCCAAGAACTGATGTCTATGAGTATTGCACCTCGTATGATGAGTGTTTAGCCTTTAAAAGGGCTTTCTTTTTTTAATTACAAGATGAAGTTCTCGGGTTTTGTTTCATTTTGTGTACGTTGCATTCAAAATACAGTTTTATTCATCTGCTGTGTGCTGTTGAAAAGTATGTTTATTTCCTGTAAATAGAATTAAAATTTGTAATCAAACTTGTGAATCTCTTTATTTGTGCATCTGTGAAAGAAGTGTGCAAGCAAATTGGGAGTCAAAGAACAAGGGAGTTAAGAGGAATGATTAGTCAGCTAGAAAAAGCCAGAGCTTGCAGCTTTCCAAAATACTAATTTAAAACTGTGCGTAAGTGAAAGTCCTCTCATCACAGCTCTGCACCATCATCTGTGGAAAAACAAAAACATGTTACACTCTGTACTATTCCAAGAGGGAATATTGCAACTTTGGCAGTAGCTTTCTGATCTTTTAGCTGAGGGCGAGACCTGATCCCTTCTTCCTTCCTTCTTTCCTTCCCTCCCTGCTGCAGGGGGATGATAATAAATGCATTTTTCTGTGCTGAGATCACCTGGACATGGGACACAGACTCCCAGTGTGTAGCTATGACGTCTGACAGTCTGTTCCATTAACCTTATCAATTTCCTTCAAGCTGGCAGCCTACACTTACTTATTGCCTGGCTCCAGCGTGCTGACTAGAGAGCTTTTCTACAGCTGAAAAGAAGCAGCTGTAACACATGGGGGTTGTATGTAAGAAATAAACTATGAGGCAATATACATGGTACTGCAGCCTCACAGTAGTTACTGTGAGAGGGGGAATGAACGTTTTCTGTTCTGGGGTATAAGCGTGCTGTTTGTGGCACAGCTCAGCAAAACTCAGTTTCATTCATATCCATAACTAAGATGCTTGAAAAGGGATTAGAGACTAGCAAAAAAACATTAGCAGAGTTTTTCTGCATGATATTTGGATTCCTTTTAAGCTCTTATTTCAATGCCAAGTACTGTTAATATTCTCTTAAGGGCAGTATTTCAGCTGTTCACAGACACAAGGATACAGAAAGTCAAGACTGTATAATTTGGGTAAAACTGCCAGGATTAAAACTAAGGATTAGTCCAAAAGTGGGTTTGGGCAGCACAGTATTCTTTACATGGATGCTTGGTTCCCAGTGCCTCTGCTTCTAGCACATTTACAGTTACTGTCCCAGTTATCCAGATTTGTTCCTAAGCATATGTGGATGTGATAGTGATGCATCCTCTCTGCAGCTGGAATGAGGGTGGTTGGCTTGCCATTAGCTTTGCACACAGCCTGGCAAAGAGGACCTGCTGTGGCATATCTGTATCCTCCAAGGTTTGACACTCCAGAATGCAGAGAATATGGCAGGTGCTGGGGTGTTTCCAGGATGGTGGAGGTATAGGGACTTGGAAGGAATTTAAGTGCTTGAAGTTCCCTGTCTGCTTTGGGGCTTGTTGTGCCAATACTGCTTCCAGGAGAAATGGGCGGGTTTGGAAGTGTCTAGAGAACAGAGACAATATAAATTTAGGGCTGGAAAATCACTGAAAGTGGTTCTGCTGGAAACCCAGAAGGTATTTTTTAATTTTAATTTGGTATCTTTAATCTCCAGTACTTTACAGCACTTGGCAGTGTTCTCTCCCTCGAGAGCTTTAGCAGCTAAGATTTGCTGGGAATGTTTTGCCAAACACAAAAAACTGTGTGTTAAAACTGGTATTTTTAGTGTGGGGGTGTTCTTTGGGTTAGTTTGTTTGGTTTTTTTAGAAAGCACTAAACAGACCTAGTCCTTCTTTATCAAGTAACAGTATAACAAGATAGGGAAGAGAGCTGCTGAGTGTTCAGCCACACTTACCAACCTTTGGTCAGAGCAATTTCATGCAGAGTTTCCACAACATGGATTTTTGCAGAAGCTGTTGCCTCCCCTTTGGCATTTGACGCATGGCACTCATATTCCCCAGCATCCTCTTTGCTCAGAGGGGATATCTAGGGGGAAGAAACACAGCCCCAGCCCCCCAGTGAGCATCCCGTGCATGGGTAGAGGTGATTTTGTTTTAAGGTATCTTATATAACATGCTAGTTGCTTGAGACATGATGAGATGAACAGAGTGCCTGTAGGGGTTCACCCTTAGCAACCCTGCTGACTGCATGCATTCTGTCAGCTCTGAACAGTCTGGTTCAGATTGTAGTGGGTCTCCTCAGTGGGGTTTGGGACAAGCACCCACTCCTGTGGGTGAGCCTAGCTTTCTTCTCTGCTTCACAGAGGAAAGGGCAGATCTGTAAGAGCACCCCAGCTGTGGGTGGGTTTTAGGGATGCCTTACCTCTGTACTTGTTCCTTCCTAGACGTGGAAAGGGTCTCCTTCCCACTAACAGCAGCAGGAACTTTTACTTCAGTCAATCCTTTTCTGATCACAAAATGCACCCTTCTGCTGCATGTTGGACAGGGGTAGGATGCATGCAACAGGTTGGACTGGAGCAAGCTGCCACCCTTACCCTTCACCCCTAATTCACACAAGGTTGTTTTCCTCCAATTGCCCTATGTGTTGCCATTTGCCTTCTGTACTGTTGTTTGTCGATGTTTGCAAACTGCCCCCGTACTGTTTGTGCAGGTCTTTGCGTACACAAAATACTTACAAGCACCCAGCCAGTCACTTCGTGTTTCTCAGGGCCCCCTCGGGTCTGGATAGCCAAGTTCTCCCGGTCTCCAGGCAGGAGCTCCATCCTCTGGACACCATACTGTCCTCGAATTATCTAAACAGAAGGGCAGAAACAGGTAAGAATTGGGGGCTTATTTATGCTGGAACTGCTAGAACCCACACACAGACAAGATCCATGCTAGTTTTACATGAATGTGTTTTTCCTAGTGTCAGCATTTCACCTTATTGTCCACGTGGTACTGCCCCAGTGCCTCAGCATCTGCACTGAGGCTGTGTTCCCCTGGCCTCAGCAGGAACAGATAGAGTGGCACGTGGTTTTCTGATGTGGAAGGTGCTGAGCAGTGGGGCGTGCAAACATACCCTGCACTGACTGCACTGACTTGGCCTCACAGAACTCATGTGCGTGTTCCCAAGGGTGTGTTTAGCCCATCAGTGCAGCAGCCTGCAGCTGCTGGCAGCTGTACATCAATCCAGTTCAGCAGGCTGGAGCAGCTGCCTTCTGGCTTGGGACTGGAAGACCACCAGGAGCTGACTGTTGTCCTTGTTTGGAGAGACTCCCCCATAACTTCCTGATGATCAGGCTTTTTAACGTGGCAGCAGCAGAGAACTGAGTGTCCGCCTGCATGACCTATCCTCTTCCCAGCAGACCAGCAACAGCCCTGCATGTTTCTGCTGCAGCAAACCAGGCTGTCCCCACTGGTGGGCACAGCATCGAGGGGAAAACAGCAGTGCAGTCACTCGCCAGTGCTGTGTATCTGAACCCTGAGCACAGCACGGGGTAAGTGGTACTCAACCCTTGTTATCACCATGTCCAGCAGTCTCTCGGCCATGAGGTAGAGGCACAAAAAGCAGAGTAGCATTGACAGTCAGTGTAAACTCAGCATCTGCTCATAAACAAGCAGAAAACGCAGCCTGAGTCAGCATGCCCACACTGCTCACCCCAGGGTCTGCACTGGGACCCCTATGAATAAAGCTTATTGCCTTAGGGAAAATTTTGGGCCAATCTAGCATTTTTAGCCAGTAGCAGCCTCAAGCTAGTATTGTTTTCAGCTTAATTTTAAGGCCCTTCACAAGCATCCACAAACCTGTGGCACTTGAGGAGGCCACAGGGGCCGTGCAGTGGCTCTCGGCCCTACGGCTATGATCCTCTCCGCTCAACGCTGGCCCCTCTCCAAAGGCAGATGTTACCAGTGCTGCCAAGATCAACATGCTGCTGGCTACTGGAGACAACTGCCCCATGTGGTTCCTGTTCCCGACAATGTGGGCGATGTCTAGCCACCTCAGTCACTGCTGCCAGCTGGGTGATGGCAGGTCAAGGGACATTCCCCGCGTGCTCCAAATATCAGGCGCTACCAAGAGAAACATGTTCTGCCTCGGGATCAACAAGAGTTTAGAAAAAGGAATGACTAAAGCCTAAGCAAAACCAAATGTTTGGGGGTGGACAGGACTGCACAGATGGGAGAACTCATCAAAGAGGTGTGTTCCTATGGAGGGATCTGCTACAGTCCTTATGCTTACCATGCAGTTTCAGCTGCCTCGGGTTTGCTGTGCTCTCTGAGCTCCTAGCAGGGCCCTTACCTTGTTCCAGATGAGGACAGGGGTTGGTATGCCAATGACTTCACAGCTCAGGTAGATCTGTGCTCCTGTCACATTCCAGATGTCCTTAGGAGGAGTCACGATGGAGGGTCCTGCAAAAAGGGAGAAATGCTTTTAAGCCTGGGGTGACTACAAGCTGTTTCCTTGCTGAGCCTTTTAACTGGGGCCAATCACATCTGATGGGTTTTGAGGACGAGGTGAAGGGGATCCTTGCTTGGGAGCAAAGCTGGCAGGACTGATCCCACATCAAAGCACTTCCCTCCCCGAAGCAACACATGCATCCAGCCTTAAGCTGTTCAGACTGAAACCAGACAGAAACTCAAGTGTTGAGCAGTTCAGATCAGTCCATCTACTTGTAAGACTGAGGTTAGAGGTAAGATAGTGTTTGTATTCTGTTATCTCAGGGGCTGAGCAGGCCTGTACAAACTGGCCTGGGTGTGCTTACCATGCAGTCACCAAGTCAGCTGGCAGCGAGGAAAGGACCCCCAGGAGACAGGGTGCATCTTGTCACTCTCTCATGCCATGGAGAGCTTGGCCAACTTGGCAGCATCCTTCTCCCCAGCATGACTTCAATCCCATGGCAGCTGGCTAGCAGACTTCAATGTTACACTGCTCCTGTTTTACCTGCGTGCAATACTCAGCCAAAGGAGGCTGGCTGGAGGATGGCAGAGCTCTCCCTGGCAGGGATCTGGGAAGGGATGAGGTAAATTCAGAGCTCCTTTTTCCCCGAGAGCTCCAATTCCTGGTTAAATAGAGAATTCCTTCCAAAGCAAGATGAGAACAGAATTGTTTTGCAGATCTGGCTGGAGATGTTTACCCCTCAGGCTGAGAAATGTTGGAGATGTAACCCATATCCCAGAAAGGGAAGAATGGCCTTTTTTATTCAATCCCTCGTTAGTGAGGCTGTTTTACAAAATGCAGCTATTAATTCCCCATAATAGGAAGTGCAGACCAAAGGAGCACATAGTGTTTATTTCCAGTTATTGAGAGCTTTAAGAACACAACAAACAGCTTTCCCCCTTCTGCTCTGAAGATGCAGGCAGTAACAGGAAACTAAAGCTCCCATTACACTGCATCAGGAGAAGGCATTTCCTATGTGCCTGACTGAAGCCCTTGGGTATGCTGGCTCACAGACCACAGCTTATTCTCAGCCCCATAAAAAAGGGGCAGATTTGGGTCCTGATGCTCCTTATGGGGTCCTGAACACGCACTGATTTCAGCCCTGCATGCGCACTCACCCCTGCAGCCCTGTCACAGGCAGTGGGGATCAGGTTTCCAGGTGCATCCCACCACACTAACATCTTCCAGCAGAAAGCTGGTGTCTTTCCTGCTCAGGATCTGGGGGCAGATCCACACTGGTATCACCAGCCAAAGGGTATCAGCCATACTTCTATTCTAGCCCAAGAGATGCTGAGGTGGCTCCCCACTCCTGAGCAGCTGATGTGATCCCAGAGAAGTGTGAGCTCTTCTCTTTTGAGACTTCCCTGTCCAGGAATGACTGTACATGGCCTGCAGGTGGGAAGCTGCTAAGAGACCAGGAGTGGCTGCCATCAACATTCTCTGTTACAGAAGTTTTCCAGTTCTGGTTTTGACAGCAGGCAGCTGCAGAGAAGCAGAGAAGTTTTATGTGTAGCCCTAGGCAATGGTTGAAACCACACCTAATGGTCAACACAGGTGGTTTCCTGGCAGATGCCACAGCCCAGGTGCTCCTCATCTGCACAGGGCTGAGTCAAAGGTTTAAGCAGCATTTTGTTACATGCTTATCCATTTGTTGCTTATGCTGCTTCATGAATTGATTCCTGTGCACCCGTCAAAAGAGGGGTGTGTCAAGAGTCACGACACCCTTTCCCTTACGGAAAAGCGCTGGAATTATCCTTGCCCCACGTGGCCCAGAGCAGATCTGTACCTCCAGCCCATGCCCAGCTCTGCACTCTCAGCAACACCCTGCTGAAGGCTGTTCCCCCCGAGTACACCACAATAAAGGGGGGGTGACCTGCACCCCCAGCCACAGCCTGGCCCCTGGCACAGCAGCGGGGTTGCGGCCAAGCCCAGGGCATTGCATCCCCACGACAGGGGCCACCTCAGGTCACGCACTCTGCTCCCCTTACCCAGCACGGCGGGTTTCCTGCACAGCCCAGCTGTTCTTTTTCCGGTGTCCTCTAAACAATAGGGACAATAGTGCACTTGGAAGCTCCTATGGGACACGATGTCCCCAGGCAGCTTAGCTTGCACTGCGCTCTGGGAGGGCCTCCAGCTGATGTGCACCCAGCAGAGCCTGCTACGGCTGCCGCCTCCTGCTCAAACATGCACAACCCTCCACATGCCAATTCCCCTCCTAGGGCAGAGCTTGGGGCCTGTCCTCAGCAGGCAGGGCTATGTCTGCCCTTGCACGACACCATCCTCTTTATCACTGGTTACCAGTGTTCTCCATGAGGCAGGAAAAACACAGCTGCCCCCCAAATGACCACCATCTCCCACCACAGAAAAGGAGAGATCTTGACTCTTCTGTTAAAAACCAGGTGGATTTTAAGGCACTGTTATGCTTTTCCACAATCTGGCTCAAGTCTTCCCTGGCCGGGAACTGGCAGCATTCAGTGCACCACTAAACCCACTGCCTGAGGTGTCTCAGTCTTGGCTGCCACTCAGTTTCCCTCTTGCCCACAGGTGTTTGCTTACCCTGCCAGGACCACATCACACAAGGATTTTTCAGCAGCAACTGCTGGCAGGGGAAAGGAGAGAAAGAATGTCTACCCATCTCCTTGGCAAGGAGAGACTGTTTATCTTCTTGGAAAGGAGAATTGCCTGCACAGCTTCACAGCAAAGCTCTTGGCTGGCTTGGCACAGCAGCCACAGCACAGCAACAGCCTGACTTTTAAAAGGCAGTCCCGAGCTCGAGCTCGGGATGTACATCCTGATCTAACCAGGCAGAACATGACGTTCTGTATTTGGCTGCAAAATGAATTGGAAGCATCCACAGGCCTCCACCTCTATCCAGCACAGCTCTGAGGCCAGGAGGGAATACACATCCTGAGAGATGCAACAAGTGTCATGGGAAGAGTCACTGTCGTCTCTCCGGACGTTTCACTTTAATCCATGCAGCCAAAATTCTAGAGCTGTGCTTCTTCTGCCACTAAAAATAAATGAAAAAGGCCAAGAAGTCAGTAGATTTAAAGTCAAATCTCAACAGGCCACAGCAGTAGCTAGACTCCTACTACAGTGGGCTGACACTTATGTGCATGGCCCTCACCCTGCTTATTGCCTGTGCTGGTCCCACTCCTGCTCTCTCCCACAATCCCCCAGAGCGGACAGAGCTGGACAGAGGACACAGCAACAGGAGAGGCAGGGTATGGCTGAGCCTTGCAAGCACTTCCGAAGATGTGAGTACATTCCCTCCTCCAAGTCACCCTCTTGCTTCGAGAATTCTTGTGAAGGGAGCAAGACCACCACGTGTTCAGCAGGGCTAGAAACAACCCCACTCTGTACAGAGAAGATGCCTTGATTCCTGCCAGCAAGGAGGCCCTCAGCCATCATCCTACAGCCTGCACCTGAGAGGCCTTGGTGCTCTACTGGCAGCATTGCTCCCAAGGGGGAATGTTTCTCCATCCGCCTCCTTCGGGCTGAGGACTTGAGGGCTGCACCTGCTGATGGAAATGGTCATCACCATCAAGGTGACCGAGTGGTCTCCACTCTCCCCCAGGGCCTGCACCAGGGACACTGCTGATGTGCAGATGCTCCCTGCCAGGACTTGCCCTGACTGTGCAGGAGCTCCTCTGCCTGAAGTGCCTGTGGAGATCAGCTGCTCTCCACAGGCACTTCAGGCATTTCCTCAGTGCTCTACCCATTGTTTGTTAAACAAATAGCTCTCCCCGGATCAGGATGGGGCTTTTTACAGAGCCCCAGAGCTCATTCACCCCGGGTGAGACCTGACCATTTGTGCAAGGACTATTTTTTTCTCCAGATTGCAGGGAGCTGACAGCCTGCATTATGTCAAAAGCAACAGCTGGAGAGGAGTTCCCACTGCTGTTATGTAGTTGCTTTTCTGCTGCAGCAGCATGTGGCAGAGCCTGACTTCCTCGATGAGGATATCATTTGGCATCTGCTCCTGAGACCCCTCCCCACGCCAGGCACCTCTTCTCTGCTCAGCCACAGCAGGCATCTCCCAGCCCACCCAGCTGCCTCTCACTGGTACCTGGACAGTCTACCACAGCTCAGGGTTACCTGGTCCTCACTGATCTTCCTTTGGTGTCCACACATACACACACACACACAAAATAAAAACCACACAGCAAGGAGAGAAGTAACTTTTATGCTAAAATCAAGGGGCCTACAGGTATGTCACTAAAGGCAAAAATAAGCTGGACACTAAGCACTGTGGGTATGCCCTTGGTGCTTGGATGTGTGCAGGAAGTCTGGAACACGAACACACGAAGCCACGCACCATGTGCTGAAGCTCACGTGGGTGCCAGCTTGGTTCCCAACCAAACCTCACGAGCACTGCTGTGCCACAGCCCCAGGTCAAACACAGGCTGGGAACACTCCCTGTGAGACGGCAAACCAAAGCAAAAACTAAACATTGTTCACTCTCACAAACTATTGCAAGCCTGAAAATAGACTCCAGTCTGCTAAGTTGCTGGCCAAGTATCTTCCCTTCAAAATTACTTTATATGGAGAAGGGGAAACCTTCCATAAGCGGCATCTACTCATTTTAGCTGGCATGGCCTCAGCTGCTCCCTCCCAGGTCAGTGCTCTGTGAGAGGCAGCAACAGACAGGAAGTGCTTTTGGCCTTCCCAACTCCCAGAGCTGCCTGATGCTTTCTGGCAGACTTACAAGCCTTGTTCTTTACCACTTTCTGAAGGCATTTCTCATCTTCCTTTAACCTGGCTTTGAAGAGACTAAGGAGTTACAGAAGGAAGCTCCAAGACATCCGGACCAAAGTAGGTGTCAGATGCTTTGTCTGTTTGGATGCTCCACCTCTGACTTCAGCAGCCCAGTGACCCTGGAAAGGCTGCAAATGCAAATGCAGCTTTGTCCCAAGTCCTGGACACTTGAGACTGAGTCAGCATGAGGAAGGGCCCTGGGCCACCATCTATC